CATCTCATGTGATTCATATGGACGATGTACAAGTACGGGATAATCTTATGGTGGAGACGATGCTTGTACGGATCGTGGATCGTGAAATGAAGACTCTGAGGGGGCAAAGATATTGCCTTGGTTAAAGTGGTTTGGCTAGCAGCTGCTGGTGAAAGAATGACTTGGGAGTTGGATAGCAAGATGCGAGACTCCTATCCTGAATTGTTTTATTGAGGTAAATTTTCGAGGACGAAAATATTCTAAGTGGGGGAGAGTTGTAACGCCCGTAATAATTAATTATTTAATTAAATTATTTTTGGAATATTTGGGATGATGTGTGTTACTTAATTAATTGGATCTAATTATTTTATTAAGTGGAGAAATAATATTAGAATTATAATATTATTTGGTGTGGGCTTATTTTGAAGGAATATAAGTAATAAGGGGGTGTATTGGTTTTAAGCCCAATAAGGAGTAAATAGAATAATAGGGTTATTTTATTGTTGTTGGAATAGAATAGAAAGAAAGAAGCAGTAGAAGAATAAGGATTGAGAGAAGAACGTGCAAGCTTCTAGAGAAAGTGGAAAAACGGCAAGAACGAGAATTCAACCAGAAATTGTAGAGTGACCTTCAATCCAAGGTAAGGGTGTGGTTCTAACTCTATAATTTGGTTTATAATGATTGGTATGTGGGGTTAGAGATGATTGTTGTCTTGTTCTTGAATTGAAAATACATGATTGATGTATGATGAGAATTGATAAAATTCGATGAATATTGATGTCTTGATGCTGTTTAAATGATGTAGAATTATAAGATAATTATGGGTGATGAATTGCCATGATTAGATTAAGTTTTAGGGCTTTTAATTATGGAACCATAGTGAGATGCAGAGAAGGAAAAACACAGAATTATTGCAGTGATGAAAAACCCAGAATTACGCTGGAACGATACCAGGTGTTGTTGTATTAGAATGATTAACTAATTTAGAGAATAGAATTTGTCAATTTTGTTCTTAGTTAGGTTGATATCAGGTAAAGAATTAGAACAATAGGATGAATAGAAAATAACAGTTCTGATGTAGAAGTTGTGTTGAATTATTAGAAAGTAACAGTTTTGATGTTAGAAGTTGCACTGATCAGAAGATGTATCTGGTCAGAAGATGTATCTGGTTAGAAGATGGGGTTAGTCAGAAGATGTGATGATCAGAAGTTGTATTTGGTCATAAGATGGGGTTAGTCAGAAGCTGTGATGATCAGAAGTTGTATCTGGTCAGAAGATGGGGCTGGTCAGAAGCTGTGATGATCAGAAGTTACACCTGATCAGAGGTTGGGTTAGTCAGAAGTTGCATTAGTCAGGAGTTATAGTAGTCAGAAGATTGTGTCGCCCAGAGGTTGTGTCATTAGAAGCTGCGTTATTAGAGATAGTGTTGGTTAGAGGTTGCGTGGTCAGAAGTTGGGATGACCTTTACGTTGTTTTCAAACAGAACAATGAACGTTAGATGCTTAAAAGCTGTTGTTTGAGCTATAGCAGTAGGATAGTATCGGTCTTGACGTTAGAGTTACAGAATGGCAGTATTGATTTACTGCGCAATTAATGTTCAGCTGAGTTGTTAGTGAGAAGTTATTCATGATGTTCTGTTGATGATTTAAAATAAATAAATGATGTTTAATAAATTATTTTGATGATATGAGATGTTGATGACGAGACATTGAGATGCATTTGAGATGTTGTTATTTTGAGATGCTTTTGAGATGTTAAATGAGATGTTTTTGAGATGATTTGAGATGTTGTTAACTTGGGTGTTGTTATTACATTCATGGTTGTTTCTCATACATTGCATTTTTGAGATGGAGCTTATGCTCGTTGAGATGGCCTGTATTGGTGAATTTTGAGATGAAGGCTATGCCTTGTTGATGCCTCTATTAATTGGCAAATTTTTGAGATGGGCGTTCTGCTCTAATGGTACCACATGCATTTGCATAATATTGAGTCACATTATATGGTTGCTTAAAGAAGTGTATCTTGATGTCGATGAATGTGTTTATACGTTGTAATTATTGTTGATTATGAGATGAGAAGTGGTGATTTTATTGATCTAATTTAATATATTAATTATCATGTGCTTTATTATATTGTTAGATATCTCACCCATTCTCTTTGAATGTTGCCCTTATGTTGGTAACGTGCAGGTAATCGAGAGTGAAGGTTGTATTCCTTCAATAGTTCGAGTCGGTGTCATTGCTCTGATATGTAACACTCGGGGGGATGAACGCTTGCTGTTTTGATTGTTGATTTTTCCGTTGTTGAACTTTAGATTGACTATTATTAAATATGTGATGTTTCGAAGTTGCTGTTTTCTTGTTAGAGATGTTATTAAGAATTCCGTTGCGTAGATGTTGAGTTATTTAATTAAACATGTTATGATGGTTCATTCGATGTTTTAAAAGTGTTATATATCCATGATGAAATGCAATGAATTTTTGATAGAAGAATTTGTGATGTCCCGATTTGTTTGCATGATATGAATTTTATAACTCTGATTTATTTATATAATTTGCCGGGGTAGAATTGGGGTGTTACACTTTAGGATAGTCTCTTCTTCTCCTTCCATCTTCTTTAATTTCAAAAATCTTCTCCCTCTTTTTGAAAACTCTACTTGCTTTTAAACCTGAATCACTTTCATAATAAACTTGGACTTAGGTCCGTGCATTTTCAAAAACTTTTTCACAAGTAAACTTCAATCAACTTAACAATACCTTGACATTTTTTTTAGAAGACTAAAAGTCAATCAATCTCATTTTAAACCATTTTTGCCACTATGGCTTATTTTTAAAACCTTTCTCAAAAGATTAGACTCTTGTCAATCCTTGTAGTGATGCAAACTACTATACTCCTACGATATGTAGTGAAGTGAGATATTTTCCACTTTGGTGTTGAGTGAGGCATTGTTGATTTTAAAATCCAAGCCATATCCTCTACTTTAAGATGATGCAAATTCTCCTTTCTCATGATTGTGGGTAGTAAGAATGTTTTCCACACGGACAATGACGATGATGTTTTATCTCATAAAAATTAACCAACATACTTACATTTAAAATTTTTTAAAGAGGAACTATGTGTACCCTGATCCCCTATTGCACGGAAGGTGGTACGTAGGCACTAAAGGTTCGCAACCGCGGAGGATGAAAAAATCATAAAAAATATATTTCTTTTCTCATCTCCACCATCCATTTTTATACAACATTTTTTATAGCCAAAATATACAGATTTTACAAAGAGGATCCTGCGGAGTACCGTAGATGTTTAGGGTGCTAATACCTTCCCTTTACATAACTAACCCCCTTACCTTAAATATTTCCCCCCTCTTTTTTGGGTTACTCTCTCTTTTCCCATTCCTTTGGAAACAATAAAGCACGATGGCGATTTCTATTTTGATTTGTACAAGTCTAGTCAATCTAATGGCTTAGTCTTAAGCATTTCTACCGCTACAACATGATTCTGTTTAAAAAAGTTAAACCTTGTCTTGCCTACAATTCAACACCAAAAGTAGTAAACATAAAAGCAACATTTCCATACCTTTTAGAAACAATAGAATAATAAGAAATAAGAATACAACAGTTTAACATAAGGAAATGACAATATTCGCGTGTTGAATAGGTACTTGTTTTTGTTGATAGAAATGTCATTACAAATAACAGAATATTACAAATTTGTATATGTCTTAAGATACGTCTTTACATATATTATTAATAATAAATGATATAGGTACTTTAATCAAAAGCAAGATTTTCATCATCCTCTTGTTCCTTGGTCTTTTCTTGTTCTCTGTAGAAGAATAGATCCACCTACATTAAACTAAGTCTTAGTTAGGGTTTATACCAAGATACATATCACCACTCTTTAATTATTTGACTATGGTAGTTGTTTCTAGCATTGCTACTTTGATTTATCAATATAACATCAAGAATTAGAAATCAACCTATTAGCCTTACCGTTCTGACAAATTTTAAGCTATTCTAGAGGATGTTTACCATAAAAAGTGGTTTAACTTCAACTCTGTTACCATCAATTGAGCAAGAAAAAGACACAAATACAATACATATAGTTCTTATTGGTGTTACATGTTAAATCATCAACTATCCCAACAAACTTTGTAAACATTAAATGCCTCATTGTGTGACCAGTACACAAAATGGGTTCATAAAATGTATTCATGGGAACAATTTATTTTTCTTGTTTCTTTTTATCAAAGTTAATTTAAGTCATAATATGAACATTTATGAATGTTTTCTCGTGTCAGGATGGTATAGACAGAGCTATTTTGACTATTGAATTTGTTTTGGTGGAGAATCTTGATGGTACAAATCATTGATTTGTTTTGTTGCGAAATAATGGAACCTGGACAAAGCAAAAGAGAAAGGACAAAAATTTGGATTAAGCTTTAAAAAGTGAAAACATCCCCCATGTGGAAGTTGTGATAAATGAATAATTCAAAAAGGAGTATTATACCAGTCTTAAATAGTAAGAAAAATTACTTGGAGTAACTTTCCAAATATATATTATACCAGTCTCATGTATAAAGTTTTCATAAAAAGCAGTGAAACATGTCTTCATTAACCCCTACTTCATATCTATCTTTATAAAAAATTACACATAAAATGTCAAAACAAACTTCTCAAGGAGTACTATTAAGCATGAGCATCTACTTAACTTCAACTTCAAGAGCATAATTAGAATCTCCTTTCCTTCAGGGTTTAACCACCCAACACAGCAAGGAAAAACTACAATTCAATCATCTTTTGCACATTAAGATAAATATGATGAAAAGCAAATATTTTTATTGATCATACGATGTGAGTAATTGATAGTGACTTATTTATAGTGTAAATATTTAGGTGATGAATAAGATAATGGACTGTGATTAATAATGTTCTTATGGAGAAGAGAAATGAAAAATTACCTGAATTGAAACTGCAATGTTTTGTAATTAATCAGATTCTGATTTAAGCAGAAGTAGCATTTCATCCTTCTCCTTCTGTATCCATTCTCACTGCTTGGCACTCCATTGTCTCGGTGTCTCGTGAAGGGAAAAACGCAATCGTGGAGATCCTTGTACAAGCCTTTTCGAGATCCTGTCAAACACATCACAGTTTGTTAAGTATGCACCAGTTGAGTCCAAACCAACATCAACATAAAGGAAGATACTTATAAATTAACTGATTGTGTATATAAAAGTATTCTTGAAAATAATAGCCATTACAAAAGTCATTACATGGAGAATATTGCTAATAGCACATGAGTATGTTGGAGAAGTGAATTTCAACCCAACATAGTAAATGTTCTGATCAATCACAAGTATAGAACAATATGAAAAAATCCTTATATTAGAACATTTATGGAATAGTTAAAGTCGTAATTCAGATGAACTGACTATTGGTGAAGAAAGTACTAACCCAAAGAGACCAAAGATGAAAATTTGCATGAACATAAGAAATGAAATCCTTGGTTTATCTTCCAGCCAATGACAAGAAAGAAAGTGTGATAAGAGAATAGTTCAAACATTAAGCTTGTGATTTTACAACATGAGTTTATCGATTGCAATGTAGTTCAAGAGGAAAGTAAAAATTGTGACGAAATACACCATCTCAGTTACACCAATAACAAAGCAAACTTAAAAACAAAAAGTTAACATATAATGATGTTATAGTTAAAGCACTCATTTATCATCAACAACAAAACATAATAGGATTTTTACTCATATAATCGATACAATTAAACTATGTGCCTCTTATTCATGTCAATATCAGACTTCTTTCTTGTAACAGATGTTAACATATATTCTTCCATTACCCTTAATGGAGGTCATTGCAAACATTATCTTCTGATTCCCGTTGACATAGGTGTTTAGTACACGTAGAATATGCTGAGAAATTCTTTGTTCGCCACCAAAGAGTATATATAACACATAACAAAACAACTATTAAATCAGTGGTTATGCAGAAAGATGAAATCGAAATCGAAAACACACCAAATCGACAAAAACTCAATCAACTTACAAAAAAGGAAATCAATCAAAACCACAAATCGAATCATAGTTTAAAAAAATTACTTGTTGATGAAAGTGAATGCATTTGACCATAAGAAAAACACCTCCAAAGCCAGTATTGCTCGAAATAAAAATACAACAGGTTCATTAGCAAGATTTGTTAGAACAAGATTTAGTTCTGCAATATTATCTCTGAGTTTTGATGATAACAAATGATTATGTTTGTATGAACAATTTTGATACTCTAATATTTGTTATTTTTGAGCATTTAACAAACAAGTTCTGCTTCTTGTGGATGGCGTGGCCAAGACATTAGAAGATAATTAGTTTCTCTTCTGCGCTACACAAGTTTTGATGAACAATAGCAAGACACTCCAGAATACTCTGATGTGTAGGCTCTGATATGAAGTCTAAAGAAACCATTTAGATGATCTGATGACAGAAGTTCTACTTAAGTCCAGATGCTAAAGACTCATGTTTTCGAAGACAACGTGTTCTAAAGAAACCAGTCAGAAGATCTGAAGACAGAAGTTCTACTTAAGTCCAGATGCTAAAGACTCAAGTTTCTAAAGACCCATGGTTCTAAAAAAGGGTTCTAAAGAACAAGAGTTGGTGACTCTGAAGACAAATTCTAAAGACTCTGAAGACTTGAAATTTTGAAGACCCAAGGTTCTAAGAAAAGGGTTCTAAAGACCAAGTGCTAAAGACTCTGAAGAAAGAAGTTTGAAATGCTATGAATACTTGAAGTTCTAAGGAACCAAGGTTTTAGAAAAGGTTATTATGGCCAAGTGCCGAAGACTCTGAAGACGCAGTTCTGAAGACTTGAAGTTCTGATGACCTTGTGTTATGTTCTCGCTTCTAAACTTATGCTCACAGAAGCGTCTGAAGTGAAAAAGGAAAGAAGATAACATTAACGTGGTATAATAGTACATGGTACAATAAAAAACGTTTCATTCCACTACCATGAAAGGATGAACGTGTTGCACGATCTTGTCCCCCACGTTACTGCTCAAGCCGCCAATGTTTCTGGAAATCCCAAGAGTACCCCTCAATGATATATTATTTTATTGGTTATATAAAGGCTTGAAGACTAAGAGAGAAAGCCTCTAATTCATTGATTATCCATGCACAAGCGTTGCTCATAACTTTCAAAAAATTTAGTCGATTTATCTTAAAATCTGTCTACTAATCAGCTTGTGTAGAAGCATTTTCATTGTAAGCGAATTATTCAAACAATTGTTGTATTGCTCCTTGAGAGACCAGTTAGGTCAGAATTCTTGAGAAGTTTAAGACTTGTGTGTCTTAAATATTATTCCTTGAGAGACCAGTTAGGTCAGTATTCTTGAGAAGTTTAAGACTTATGTGTCTTAAAGATTATTCCTTGAGAGACCAGTTAGGTCAGTATTCTTGAGAAGTTTAATAACTGTGTGTCTTAAAGATTGTACAGTTATTCACATAAAATTGGTGTGTGTAAGTGCAATAATCATTTTGATTATTGGATTAAGTCCTCGTTGGAGAGAGGCGAAATCACCTTGGCGAGTAGACTAGACTAGCTTGATATTTTTCAACTGAACTAGTATACACATTGTTGTTCTTTACTTCTAGCATCTTAGTGTTATTATCACTAAGTGAAGTTTCTTATTTATAAAAGAAATGGATTTTAAAAGAAAAGTTTTGATTCAAAACCCAATTCAACCCCCCCCCCCCATTCTTGTATTTTTCACACCTTCAATTAATAACAGAGCTCCAGTTCTGAGGAGTTGATAAAAAGTTTGAATTTTTATCAAGCACCTAACAGTGTTCATTACCAATCTAGAGTGTGAAAAACAAAGGCAAACAATGGTAATAATGCTATTATAACTGGTGATAATAATGATAACGATGAAGATCATTATAGTGCAAAACCTCCTATGTTTGATGGTGAAAGTTTTGATTACTGGAAAGACATAATTGAAAGCTACTTTATGGCTTATGACTTGGATCTATGGGATTTGGTAGTTGATAAATATACTCACCCAGTAGATGATAAAGATCTAAAGATTGCAATAAGCGTTGTAATACCCCAAATTTGTCATACCCTATCACTTTCATCTGGCTTATGCATTCCAGACTCATTTCATGTACATAACTTCCATTAGGTCATTTGACAACATCATGCATCATTAATCAATCAAATGGGCATGGGATCGAGGATCTTGAGGTGTAGGGTTTATCTTTGGCTTTGAGAGTCTCACTTTCGTTCAAGGTGGATTCACGTTATTAGTTAACAATCTTTGGTTTGCAGAGCTAGGGTTTTATGTGCATGATTCATTGAGAATTTCTTGCATCGGGATATTACCAAACTTCCATCTTTAAGGTTCCTTCAAAAGTATCAAGTTTTTATGATCTACTCAATGACTCATAATCAAATGAGAATGCTTTGAATTAAGGTTGTTGTGTTTATCTTCATCATTGCAAGGGTTGGATTCATGATGAGAGTCTATGAGCTTAAGGATGCGTTGGTGATATATTGGTTGAGGTTACAAGATATGGTTTGTGGATTCAAAACATCATCTCTCTTTCAGATATCAGTTGCTTTTCATGCAAGTTGAGTTTGGCTCAAATTTGGAGAATTAAAATTAGAGGTTCATTGAAATTACAAGATAATTTGGAATTTTGAACTTAGGAGTATGGGTGTTCGCGGTTCGGTTTGGATCAGTTTTAAAGCAAAAACTCATCCGATCCAAAGATTAATTCACTTAAGGTTCAGTTCGGTTTTGGATGATATATTTAAAAAAATCCAATATGATCCGATCCAATTTTATGCGGTTTAATTTGGATTGATTTTTGGATATCCAAATTACACATTATATTTTTATTAATATTATAAAACTACTAATAAATCATATATTTGATATAATATATAACATATAGTATATTAAAAGTTAATATTACAAAATGAGAGTGATTGATTATGCTTGAAATAATAAAAATAAATAGATTATACCAAACTAATAAATATTATTAAAAAAATTATTATCATCTAATAATAAATTCACATAACATGTCATACTAATAAAAAGTAAATAAGTATCAAAATATATTTATGCGGTTCGGTTTGGTTTGAATCGGTTTTGAAAAATTCATCCGAAATTCAATTCGAACCGATCGGTTTTCATAAAATAACATCCAAACACAACCAATAACTTTCAGTTTTTTATGGTTTTCGGTTTTTTGGATCGGTTTTCGGTTTTTTATTTGGATTGGTTTGAATTTGAACACCCCTACTTAGGAGGGCTCAAGGTAATCCGGACTTGTAATCGGGATTTGGAATTAAAGACTTGTCAAGATAATCAAAGTTTCTAAAAGTTCAAGCAATTCATTCATGGCCTATCTTGAAATTAAAAATAAGCCACCAATACAAATTTGCAAAGCATGATCATTCAAAGTCCTTTCGAGTGTTCGTTTTAATTAAAGTTCGATAAATGGATGTATATTCTAAATATTGGAAGACTTGTTTCAAAATTACAAGAATTACTCAAGGCATACATCATCATTGCTAAAAGGGTTCATATTTAAAGTTCTAGTTGTTCAAATATTCTTCATCATTCAACTTTGTTCATGAGACCTATTCCGGTTGCAATTCAAGGAAAGTACGAAATTATGTGGAATCATTTAGATTACTTCAAGTTTATATTTGAGGCCAAGGTTTTTATACGAAGCCCAAAACCATTCAAAGTCTTCATTTCCAAATCGAAGGAAAAATTGAGGCTTACAAAGATTACTTCTGGTACAAAGTCCTAAAAGCTATGATAATTTAGAAGAATACATCATAAGTTTATAAGTTAACTATGATTGTAAAGTTTACCTTCTGCTCCAATCTTCAAATTCCACGTTTCATATCCATCTGCATATTTCCATCCGGTTTCATCCATATTCCACCAAACATACTTTCATCGTCATGCCAAACCCGTAGCTGTATCGAAACGGTCCCAAGCTTGTAGAGAGTGTTGTAAACCTACACATAACCCAGTGTAAAACCAGCTCCTGCATTAACATAACAGTCGGCCTGCAGAAATTTGAGAAGGGATTAAGTCAGAAAGTACAGCTCATCTATAACAGAAAAATAATTGTAGCAGATTTCCAGCTCAGGGTAATTGCTCAAAACAGAATCCTAAGGCAGTTATGAACAGAACTATAACAGAAATTCAGAGGCAAAATAAACTGGATCCTAACCATTCAACAATAATAGAAATTCCATAATTCTCATTCTCCTAACCGAATTCACTAACTGTCCAACTCATTTCATAACTAAATTACAAAATCTCTAGGTTCAATCTCCTCCATCGATTATCCTAACAGAATTTCGATATATATATGGATGAGATCCAATTATCCGTAAAAAACTTTTCTGCAATCTAACAACCTATATAACATAATCATCTTTTTCATCTTCATTTTTTTCTGGACCATTTTCTGAAGAATCACCAAGACTTGTGAAACTCTCTCTGCTCTCTCCAATCACCATAACCATTCTGCACTTTCAACCTTGTTCTTCGCACAACATCTTCTTCTCAACATTTATACACCACATCATCTTTGCATCACCATAATCATCTTCTTCACAACTACATCTCACTCCAGTCCACAAGTTGCTTCACTACAACATCATTTTTGCATCCCTGCATTTTCGCACATCAGCACATCGCAACAACTTCGCTCTACTTCAACACACGCAACAACTACAACGAACAACAACACCACAACAACAAAATCAAAGAAGAAAGAACAAAAGAATTAGAAGAAGAAAAATAAGTTGATATTACTCTCAAGTAACTATAAGGAAGCGTACTATTACCTCTGGATTTCTTGCGACACCGACGTCGTTAAAGAGTCACTGGAATTACTCCGGTAAGTAAGTCACTCACTTCTTCTTCTTTTCGCTTCGATCTTGATATCGTCACATAGAGAAGAGCCTTGCAAATTAAACCTCTATGGAATCATATGTTGAAGCTTTGTTTGGAGGATTTGATTAAGTTTTGAAGAATTTAGGGTTTTAGATATTTTTGGAAAATATAGATCGATTGAACAAGAATTGGAGAAGAAGAGTAAGAGATTGGTACTCACAAGGAAGAAGCGAAGAATAAGATGGAAGAATTTTGAAGTTTGGTGATGGCTCTGCCGCCTCAGGCGCGACAGAGAGATTATCAGAGAGATTCTGAATAGGTTGTGATTGTGTTATGTTGGGATGGTGACGCCGCGGTGAGAGATGGAGCAAGACACAGAAGGTTATGGTTGCGCCGTGAGTTGAGATTTAAGGAGGAAGAGAATTCTGTTTGAATGAAGGTGGAGAGTCACAAAAGAAAACCCTTGCTCACACTAACGAAACCGTTTCATTCACCATAATATTTCTTTAATTGTTTTTCTTAATAGATTTAAATAAACAAAATCTAAAAATGAAAAGGCTGAATTGAAGAAGAGCTGGGCTGAAAAATCTCTTGGATATACTGTTCGGGCAGACCCACTCTTTCCCTTGAGCCCAGTGTGCATTTTATTTGAAGGCTAAATAAACAAAAAACATCATTGGGCTTCACTCTGACCAGGCCAGCGCCTGAACTTGCTGGACCATACTCCCTAGACTCAAATTAGCACCCTCATGAATTCACTAATTCTTTGTTAGATTTAGGGTTTTTTTGTTAATTTTTTGTCAATGTAATACATGATAAAATATAATAAAAGCAATATAAAATAGTAGATTTTAATAGAAATTTTAGGAATAAATTTTAATTTTTTTCGATAGAATCTTCTTTACATGAAAAACTAATAAAAATATACCTTTTCTTTTAGTTTTTACCCATATTTTCATGCCGCTTTGCCATGTCATTTTTGACATGTTCGTTCATTGTGCAAGGTACCTTTTTTATGCTTTCGATCATGTAACATAACTGGTAGTTATGTTATCGAAACATACGGCTTATGCTCGCTTCTGATGCGACACGCCTTATTTCTCATCTTCTTGGGAAATTCCTATTATATTATGTGTGGTCCTAATGCATGTGATATTTCATGAGCTTTGTGCAGGAACTTCTTATTACATGTTGCATTCGCAACACGCGTTTGCTTTTACCTTAGTTGGATATTGTTTTTGACTTTGTTTGTTTCTTGGTGAAGCTTTTTTGACGCTTACTCCTCGCTTCTCCATTGCTTTCGTCCACTCTTGAAGATTTACTCTCTTTTTGTAGTCGCCGCTACTACCTTCGTATTTCTTCTCACTTTACCATATTTCTTTGCCGCTTTTCTAGATGTCATGAGAAGTAGGGGCTTTGCTGCTTTCTGATGCCATGAGAAGTAGGGTAGAGATGTATGACGGGGGTCTCCGTTGCTGATCATGTTACGAACCCATCTGGTTTATTTAAAGACCCGATTAGGGCAATTTCGCATTGTGTGCAGTCTGTTTGCTACTTGTGTATGGTTAATTTAAAACCCTACCTTTGAGTAGGTATTTTGCAAGTGTGTTTATATTTGTGCCCGCATATGTACAGATGATAAGTCCTCAAAAGGAGGCGAGAGGGGAGGGTTAGCAATCAACCCCCACAATTTTGTCTGTGTCATCCTTAGCTCATGATGCACCACAAAGCTTCAGAGTTGTGCCTGCTCTTGTTATCGAGTCGTTAAGTGGGGAAGGGTTCTGCAATCGAACCCCCATGCTTTGTCAAGAGTTCTCATTGGCTAATGATGATACTCCGTGATCGTTCATATTACCTTCTGTCGCCTACCTCGATCTCCTATATCTTGGTTAAGCGTTCAGTCGCTTTGGACATCACATTTTTGTTTTTTTTTTATCTCACTCCCGCTTGTTTGTCTCGGGTGATACGCTCCCCTTGGCTAAATCATTTCTCTTCTTTTCATTACTCTTTGATGTGTGTGCTCTTTCGAGCTTGTGTGTTTTATCCTTGTACATACCATGTTCCTTTAGGATGCGCTTTCTCCTTTCGAATTCAAGTTAGACCTTAGGTTACAAACCATGTATGCTAACATTAGGTAGAGATTTCCCTTTCATCCTTGACATAGGGATACCATTGTATGATAGCATTAGGTTTAGAAATAGGCTAGTCTCCCTTAGACTCTTTTCTTCCCCTTTTGCACATGCATCTAAAACTAAAATCTCCTTTTATTTATCAAATCAAAAGCATGCTAATCTCACTTAAACCCTTTTTCAAGGTAACAAAATACAAACCAACTCAAACCTTTTTGTGCGCCCAAACACCTTTTCTCTAAAAAAGCTTTTTCAAGTAAGGACGTGATTAACTTACTTATGTGCCAACGCATAAGTCTCCAAAGGTCGAGCTGCGGCTGAAGGCGGAATTAACATTGTCCATAAAAACATAAACAAACAAAAACATGTTAGCCGAACTATGGCAGCTCTGATTCCTCAAAAAGGATACATAGGCATTGGGGTAGGGCCCAAGCGAGTACAAATTTATTTTCCCTACATTCTTTTCTCCTTTATTTTGCATGCATTCTTTCTCAGTAGTAAACAGTAAGCATAAATTAAACATACCCATAAGATAGATAACAAGAGTGGATATCGTACAGTACTACGGGCGCGTGGGGTGCTAATACCTTCCCCTCGTGTAACAAACTCCCTTACCTGATCTCTCGGTCGCAAGACCGTGACTTCTCCCTTTTTAGGTTTTCTCGATGTTTACCTTTTCCTTCATGTGGGACAAAATACGTTCGATGGAAACTTCATTGTTTGATGATTTTCAGCTTGTTGTTTCAGCTGGAGACTTCACTAGGGACAGGTCGACCAAATGTTGGTCCATCCCGGAGTCGCTCCTAGCTCTTGTTTCTTTTCTTTAGGTGTTTATTTTTATGCTTTCTGTTTATTCATTCATTTTGTGTATACCTGATCATATGTATGCATTGCATTTTACTGTTTTCCATATGCTACTGTACTGGATCTGTATCTTGTTGGGTGGGTGTTACAAGAGGTAAAAGGCCCAATACCCAGGCCAAGTGAAAACCACAGGAAAACTAGGAATATAGTGGAACACGACGAATAAGGGATGTAGATTACCCTAGACGGTTGTGTCGTCCACGCTCAAATGAGGTTTTAATGAAGTGCTATCATTATCATGTAGGTGTACGATGATAGTACTCTCAAGTGAACCCGTGATTTAGAGTTAACCGGCCTTACCTTGACCTAGTTTTCACCCGTGAGTAGGGAGGGAATTATTATCACAGGTGCAGATGGTGACTATACTCAGACGGTGACTATTGGTTCTAATGGTTATGTTCTGGATTTCTATCACTGACTACGAAGTTCTCAGATTTATTTTCTGAGTTCCGAATTTGTTCATGAGGTTCTTTGGTTTTTGTTCTGAACCTGTGATCCTGGTACTAACTGACTATGTAGAGATAGTACAACAGAAATCAGTATCATGGAAGTAGTAATCCCATGACCATATGCACTCGCATCATAGCATCTTTACTTTTTCGAAAAAACGTCAGAAAAGAAAATGACATTGTATACTAACCTTGCATGTGCATGTCCATTTCGGGGTATCTCACAAAGTTGTGGTTTTCGTCGATAATGTCTAGCAACAATGATGATCTCAAGAGGACTAGAAGAGACAATTGTACTCATCAGTTCTGCTCAAGTTCTTGGCCTTCTTTAAAGAGTTTGAAAGACTATTTAATCCATCCTAATGTAGTGGCTTTTTAGTGAAAAACATGGTGGTGCTTTGACTCTACTTCAGTTTTACGACTATGAGTTACGCTATTTAACCTTCCAGAACCATCAGATCACTCCAACTTCGAAAGGGTACTCTCATTTGTTCAAGATTATCGAGAAAATATTTGTTGTTGTTCTGAACGAGCCCGACTTTGAAGCTATTACTAAGGAACTTTATTTGAGCCTTAGTGATGTGAGATAGAGATAGAGAAAGAATGGTAGCCTACCTCAAAACTGATTGTTAGATTATTATCTCGATTACCATCAGGCTTGTTGGACGGAATCGGTTATCTTGTACTCTCGCAACTTTCTTGTATTGAATTCCGCGGGAACTTCTCCTATTTCTGGTTATTTTCTTTATATGGTCGTTCTTATTATCATGTTGCTCGATTATTATTGGCGTTAATTGAGCTGTGGAAAATTGGAATGGACAATCATTTCAAACATCATACATATCATGCATTTCATGAATTGCGGGTTTTCTGGAAGGAATTCTAATCTGATGGTGTGCCTCTTATTATTAGAATCTATAAGATGACTTCCTTACATCCTTATCGCACTCGAGCCAACAAGTTGAGGATTATGGAGCAAATTGAGCAGAACCAGGCCGCACTCTGCAAAGACATGGACACCATGGGCGATCAGATGAATCAGCTCATGGAAATTCTTCATGTCGTCATCAAGGGCAAGAAGAGCTCAGACTGAGTGTTACTAATATGGTCGACAGTTCCTCTATGTCTGAGAATGGTGGACCCAAGAATTACAATGGGGGAAATTCCTAAAGAGAACCCACGGCTGATTGTGGATGACCACCATGATGTCATCAATATCGATGACCCTTCAAAGGATTCTACAGCTGATTTGTCTGAAACTTCTAAAATGTACAAGGCTTTGGAACAACGTCTGAAGGCTATGGAGACTTCAAAAAATCCAAGATTTAGTGCTGCTGTTATGTGTTTGGTTCTGGGGGTTGTGATTCCACCAAAGTTCAAGGTACCATAATTCGACAAGTATAAGGGGGTTACATGCCCAGAGACTCATCTCCGATCTTACTGCAGAAAGATGGCTGCTTATGCTAGCAATAAGTCGTTGCTTATGTATTTATTTCAAGACAGTTTGGCTGAAGCTCCATTAGAGTGGTACATGCAGTTGGAGCAAACTCATGTTAGTACTTGGGGTGAGCTTGTCGATGCTTTCCTAAAACGTTATCATTACAATACCTCCATGGCGCTTAGCCATGCACAGTTGCAGAGTATGTCTCAGAAGACTAATGAGTCTTTCAAAGAGTATTCCCAAAGGTGGCACAGTCTGGACGCAAGAGTTCAACCTCCTCACCTGGACCGTGAACTGGTAGATTTGTTTATGAGTACCATCTGAGGTCCGTATTTGCAACATATGCTCGACAGTACTTATGATTCATTTTTAGATATGGTTATTATCGGGGAGCGGGTTTAAATGTGTATCAAAGTAGGGACTATTACAGGTGCATATGGCACAAGTGGTAACAACATCTCAGGTAGTGGAAAGAAACCGTATTCTAGCGGTTTTGTCAAGAAAAGGAAAGGAGAGGTGAGAAATGCCTATGTTGATAAAGTGAAAGTTATTGTACAGGTTCAATATTACCAAAATCCTGTTGCTGCTCCGCAACAACAGTACGCACCTCCGCGAAACTAACAACTGAATCAGAGGCCCCGAGGAAAAAGGGGTCAACAAAGGCCACAAAGGCATCCCAAGAGGAAGTTTGATCCAATCCCGATGTCGTATGCCTAATTTCTTCCATAATTTCTAGTCGGTCAGTTGGTACAACTCTGAGAGTTAGCCCTTCCACCGGTAGAACTTCCAAGGGGTTTTATTTTTAATGCGCGTTATAAGTTTCATTCAGACGCTACAGG